CTAATAGGGAACAGTGATCAAGCTACCCACCCGCCCGCACGCCGTCTAGCTCCTTCCCACCCGCCCTCCCTACACATAAGTGACACCCGAGCCTGAGCACGTTCAGCGGTCGTCTTTGGATGGTTAGCTACTGGGAACCAAAGCCGACCCCACGATTGGGCGAGGTGCGCCACGCGTGCCAGGCGCGCCACGCGCGCCAGGCACCCCTCGGGCCCGAGCGTGCCAGGCACGCCTGGTGTGCCAGATGCGCCACATGCTCCGAATGCGCCCGGTGTTCCGCACCCTCCAGCCGCGCCAGGTGCGCCGCGTTCCGGGCACGTGCAGAGTGCGTCAGGTGCGCATGCGCACGTGACAGTACACCATCCTTGTCTAAAACCGATGCCCATCACTGTGTCTGGTGGGCCTGCGCACAGCAGGCCACGCGCCACTACCCCCACCTGCCCTGTCAAAAACCACTTGACGGTGATCGCGGGATGGCCGCCCATGATCCAGATTTAGCCGCGAGGTGCATTTTGTATTACTTTTGTCAGGGATGGTAACCCTGCGCGCAGCACGAATATGCTGACACTCCCGCCGTCCCTGTCAAAAACAATACAAAGTGCTCGCGGGCCTCATGAACATGACTCAAGACTTTGCCCCAAAGTGTACTGTGCATTGTTTTTTGTTGACAGGGATGGTGGGGGGGGGGGGGCGCATCGGGTTGGCCGCGCATGCTGCACATGTGGAGGCAGAGTGCGGTTTGTACTGTTTTTTGACAGGGATGGTGGCCGGCGGTTGGGCATGGTGCCGACATGGGGTCGGGTTGGCCCCTGGTCGCCTGGGGGAGGGCGTGTATATTAATATGGCACAGTGATCAACCCCTCCCCGAAGGGGAAGAAAGGGGGTTGGAAGAGGGAGCTCTCTAGGCCACCTACGCCCAGAGGGCTCGTGGGAATGTTTGGACCATTTTGAAACTGTCTGACTCTCGTAGATTTTTCATCAAAAATCCGCCCGTATGGGGGACATGCCCGACCTCAGCTTAGGCACCCCGTTGGTCGGTACACCTTGTCCAGAGCCCCTCTCCCTTTCCCCCCTTGAAGGGGCCCGTTCGGAAGGGGGAAGCGAGATTCAGGCCAGCGCCCCCTCTGAGGGGCCCGTTCGGAAGGTGGAGCGAGACCGAATGGAGCAGTGTTCTGCTGGTTTCACCCCTACTGCGCCTCAAAGAGCCTTCATGCGTGCACACCTCTTCTACCAATGCTCTGTGGTAGCCGCCTGCTCCCCAACAGCATGACGCTTGGGCCGGAGATCCTCACGTCACTAGTCGACCAGGCGAGTTTTCAAGAAACGTTCCACGTGGAGCACATCGGGGCTCGGGCCACCAGCGGGACAGGAGCATCTGCGGTGTATCCTTTTCCGAGGAAGCGCAAGCATTGATTGAGACGCGTGTATTAGCAACTGGTCCACGGATCTGTGTTCGCGTGTATCCAATTTCGGATTGTCTGAGGGTCCAATGGCATCAGGCACTCCCTACCCTGACGGGGGCCGTGTCGTGCATAATCGTCGGTGCTGGTTTTTATCCCGCTTGTTTCTTATTCCCTCTTTTTCCTGGGTTCTTCCCTTCTCTCTCTTCTTCCATCTCCTCCTCCTGCTCCATTCCTTTTCTTTCCGAATAACTCCTCCCTGTCGCACCCCGAGGCTGGTCGAAAGGGCAGGCCCTTGGCGTTTCGCTTGAGACGTCCTCACCATTCATGATCCTGAAGCTTAGAAGTTTCAGAAGTTTCGCGAATGGAGGGCGGGTCGTTTTCAAAATGTGGTTCTCGCCTTAGCGCCGCGCACATCTGTTTTTAAACTTTGCAAGCGTTTCGCGGTTGTCAACATGTGGCTCTCGCCTTAGCGCCGCGCGCATTTGTCTTTACAACACGCTCAGCAGTTTCACGGATGGAGGGCGCCTTTTTATATTATTTTTGGTTTGGATTCATGTAATGTGGCTCTCGCCATAGCGCTGTGCACATTCACTTTAAGAGTTTACAGCAGTCTCAAGGGTTCTCATGCTCAACGTCCCACGCATGGAGTTTTGGTACGATGTCGGATTTTCAGGGCGGAACAGCTACGTTGATTCGTGGTGGTGAAGTCTCAGGAATGGTGTTCTGGCGCGATTTAGGATCACCAAGGCGTAGCAGTAACGTTGATATGCGGAGTTGAAGTCCCAGGGGAATTGTTCTGGCACAGTTTGGGATTTTCACACGGTTCTTTTCCAACGTAGCACCTCCTTCGGTGAAAGTTGATCCTCGTAAAGGCCTATGCAGAAGGAGCTTGGAGGGAGGATTACTTGCAATGTTGCTGATGGGTCTTGGGTTGCACTGGTCTTGCTTCCTCCTCCTCGTCCACCCTTGTGGTCTTTGGTCCTTCGGTAGGCTCCAGTGACGAAGAACTGTCACGGGCTCGCTCAACCGACCTTTAGCCTGCTGCTTTGCGGGGGCGTCCCGCGTTCAGAAGACGCCTCCGAGGTTCAAGGGCGGAAACGGGAGCTGTGGGCGAGGAAGAGTAGAAGGAGACGGCGGAGTAGGAGGAGGAGAAGGGAAGGATAATACAGATGAGGCGGAGGTGGATGCAGAGGTGGATGTGGAGGAGGATGTGGATACGAGGCAGAGCAAACATGATGATGAGGACGCGGACGACGACGCCAATGACGATGACGATGACGATGATGATGGTGGTGGATATGATGATGGTCGAGTTGGTGGTGAGGATGACGATGCTGATGAGGTTGTTGATGACGACGGTGGTGACGATGCTGGCGATGATGCCAAAGACGACGATGATGCTGCTGCTGATGATTCTGATCATGATGGCGATGCTGACGATGTCGCTGCTGCCGCTGCTGCTGCTGCTGGCTATGATGACGAGAACGGTGCGGATGATGAGGATGATGATGAGGATGATGCTGGTGACAATGCTGATGATTAGCTTGATGATGCTGATGCTGGTGCAGAATCTGACTGTGATGCTGATTATGATGATGATGACGATGATGCTGATGATGCTGATGATGATGGTGATGATCATGCTCATGATCATGATGATGATGTCGACAATGACGGTGGCGACGATGATGATGGTGGTGGTGATGATGCTGTTGTTGTTGTTGATGATGATGATGATGATTCGGTTGATGATGATGATGCTGATGCTGATGCCGATGGTCAAGCTGCTGCTGATGATGGTGGTGGTGGTAGTGGTGGCGGTGGTGATGATGATGCTGATGCTGATGGTGAGGAGGAGGATTACGATGATACTGATGCTGATGATGCTGCTGCTGATGATGATTGTGACGATGATGCTGCTGATGATGATGATGCTGCTGATGATGATGATTGTGATGATGATGAGGCTGATGATGATGATGATGATGATGATGATGATGATGATGATGATGATGATGATGATGATGCGGACGCTGATGCTGCTGCTGCTGATGATGCT